TGGAATTCCGATCCACTGGATCATCCAGTCTCCTTGTCAGGAGCAACATCTTAGTTCTCAAGTGGTGGTTGGATTGGATCAACACTACCATCAGAGTTCCTTTACCACCACCTCGTTTTGGGTTTCATCTCTTCACAGATGTCTCACTTCAGAGATGGGGTGTGTATATCGAAGGTCAGGAATTCCAGAGTCTATGGATGGAAGATGAATCTTCCTTCCATATCAATAATTTAGAACTTCTTGCTATCCAACAGGCAATGGTTCAAGGTCTAGATCTGTTGCAGGGGAAAATTGTCAGGATTCATTCCATCAATTTCACAGTAATCTCTTGCATTTACCAGCATGGAGGCACACATTCTGGGACATTTTTTTTTAACTTTGGATATTCTCTACTGGTCTCACTCCTATCATATCATCCTCCTGGCTTGTTATGTTCCAGATCACCTGTCTCAGACTAATCGAATTCTTCTGACTGAATGGATGTTCCATTACATGGTTTTCCAATGGATTTACTCTCTGTTTGGGACTCAGATGATCGACGCATTTGCCACTCATTAAAATTCTGAACTCCAGGCAATTTTGGTCCCCAGTACCTCATCCTTGGGCTTTGGCGATAGATGCATTCAGTCAAGATTGGATGGGATTGTACCTCTATGCTTTTTCCTCAATTCTTCTGTTACCCAGAGTTCTGGCTATGGTTCAGTCCTCTACTTGAGAGCTATTGGTAGCTCCAGATTTTCTGGCTCAACCATTATTTCCTCTTCTACAGTATGTTCAAGAGGGTTTACCTCTGCCTCTTCCTTTTTAGCTATTTCTGTTAGGGAAACCTTGATCGAACATTCTACGCCCAAAGTTTCCCAAGCTCCAACTTCATGTATGGAAGTTATGTGGGCCTTCACACAACATCGGGGTTTAACTTCTAAAATTGACTTGTATGTGTCTCAATCTATCTGTAAACCCACAATGGCCATTTATCAATGGAAATGGTACACAAAGAAATTGAACCCACTTCACCCTAATGTGCCCACCATATCTCGTTTTATGACCTGTTTTTTTTTTTACTTTGGTCTAGCTTCGTCTATGAACTACTTTTTCTTGATTCTAAACTTCAGAATGTTTTTGAATCCCCAGTGCTATCCAGCCTTCTCCAACCATTTATTCCTTCATCCCAAACAGCCTTTTCAGTTACCCAACTGGGATATTAGGGTGGTGTTACGTGCTTTGTCTCGAAATCCATTCTAGCCTTTAGCCTCATGTACCATGTATCACCTTTCTCGTAAGGGGCATTTTTTGTTGCTACTGGCATGTGGATGTTGTAGGTTGGAGTTGTTTGCATTACATGTGCGCAGGACTCTTTATCATTCCACTTCTGTCCTGCTATACCCTGATAGGTCCTTTCTTCCTGAGACTCTGGCGGCCTGGGAAGGGGATAAATCCTTCTCACCAATTCTCTTGTGAGCTACTTTTCAACTCTACGACTGATCGGACACAGATCGTTTTGTTATGTCCTGTCAAAACCATGAGGCATTATGTGGCTTGCACTAACTCCTTTCGAGGTGATGAAACTCGACACTTTAATTATTGGGATCCTTCAGTTTCCCGAGATTTATCCCCAATTAATTTGACGAAGTGGCTTCGCAAATTGATCCACATTGCTTATTCTGGACTTTGCAGGTAAGGAAACTTCTGAGAGTCACATTTCATCAGGTACTTCACATTTCTATGTCTTTAGCTGCCTGTTTGAATTGCCCACTGGAGGACATCGTATGGGTTGGTATGTGGCCTTTTTCCAATACTTTTCTCCCACGTTCTTTACACGATCTGGCAGTTTCTTCTTCTGAGGGTTTCCACTACCCCCTGTAGCTGTTTTGACTACATCTGCTAGATTATAAGGAGGAGTTAGTATTTTTTTGTCCTCCTCTTGTCTCTCTACTTTCCAGGGTCCCTTACCTCTGTTTTCTCTGGATCCCACTCTGTGGCAAGTGTTGCCCATACAAGTATGCTAAAGGGGATCTTACCCATCCCTGCCAATCATTGGATTGAATAAATTGGGGTAAGTTTGCTTTAAAAATTCAGGAAACTTTGCTCACCTATTGCACTGTTTCCAGAGCACTGTTCCTCAGGACTCCCCAATGTGTATTACCCCCAGATTCTACTAGTGTAGCTAGGGAGTCCTTACCACACCCAGTTTCCAGTCACTGGGGTGGTGGACAGAGGCTTTTCCTCCAGAGTGTTCAAGAGGGAAAGGTGGGGGCCCTCTTACTAGGGTCCCTGGATGTTTTCCCCAGATGACAGTAGGAGTGGCACCAGCCTCTGTGGGAGCTTACTCATAATACCTGTTCAGATTTGATGCTAAGCTATCCAGTTTGGGTGTGCATGGCCCTTCTTTTTGATCAATATCAGTTTAGTATATTGTTCGTGGAAGGAGGTCCACTATCTCCTCGTAATTCTGAATGCGGAGTGGTCTTTGATTCACGTCCTCTCTATAATTCTCGGGGGCAAGTGGAATGCTCCTTGCCCACTCAGGTTGGAAAGTGAGGATGAATGTTCATAATTCCAGACTGGATGAGTTCTGTTCCTTTGGGTGAGTAAGACATACACGATCCTGTCCTTCCAAGCCTGTTACCTTTCGGAGTTCTTCAGGTGGAGGAGAAAGTTTGTCTGCTTTGGTGTTGCCTACTTTCTTGTCATGATTCTGGTGGTTCAGAAAGCATCACTCTATGGCTACAGGTTGGGATCCAACCAAAAGTATATCTATACGTAACGTTGCAGTCCAATTGCCCTAGCCACCAACGTGGGACATAGGAACCAAGACCCCATAATTCTAACCCCAAGTTGTGGAACCTTGGCTATTGGTTGAGGCTGGCCTATAATGATGTTTACTCATGTACTATTCCACCCTTGATACAGGAACTAAGTTCAGGGTGAAAAGCATACCTATTCTGGATGTAGTGTGGTTCTCCCACTCGAGTACCACTCTTATCTTGGTACACCCCAGATCTATGCAGATGCTTTCTGTACGAATAATGCCCTCACCAGCCCCTCCACCTTCTCAATGTGGGATTCTAGCTATAAGTGGCAGCAAAGGTGTGTTTTAGAAGTTAACATTTTCCTAACTTGAAAGTATATTTCTAATAATACTTCTGCTGACACTCTCCCACTCTTCCTTCCCATTAAAAGTGGTGTTAGTGATTGGGAAGGTATCAGTCTTGGGAAAGGCAGAATGAGGTGCTTATATACAGTACCAGGATAGAGCGTGTATTGATGTAGGTGGAGAGTATATCGTCAAGTGCAATTGAGTGGGGTATAAAAGACCGGAGCAAGCGAGAAAAAAATCAGACCAGTACTTAGATGGACAAAGTTTGAAACCCTGGCAGTCGAGTAATAGCTATAAGTGTCAGTGGAGGTAAGTATTATTGGAAATACATTTTCAATTTAGGAAGATGTTAACTTATGTTATCTTTAGTTGCAACATCCTTTTTCATGTGAACATGACTGTAATGAATGAGCTGTAGCAAATATCTGTAAAAAAATAATAAAAACTTTACAAATTGTTTTCTGAAGTTGATTGCAGAATGTGGAAAAATAACTGCTTGCCCGAATACTTAACTTGGTGGCAACTTGCAGGGCAATTCTTAACTGATTAAGTGTTTGACATACCTTAAATTACCTGTCTTCATATATTCTGAATTCTATATTTCAATCTGTTCTTGCAGAAGTTTTGTAAAGTATTAGAAATAAACCATAACATGATATAGGTTAAAATTAATACAGTTTGTTTTTTGCACATAAAAACGAGGCATAATATGCTTTGAAAATACAAAAATTATTGCTGTGTGTACGTGAGAGAGATTGAAACATATTTTATGTTAGGAAACCTCAGCTTATTATTTGCATGTTTCTGTAAGTTTTGCTTTTTTCTAAAAAATTATTTCATTTGGTGTACATGCATTTTAGTTTTATAATAGCAGTACAATTCATATAGATTCTGAGCTTGTCATTTCATATTAACTTGTTATATTGTTGATGAAAACACGATTTGACATGAATATAATACTTGAATCAAAGCCATATTGTGGTACTACTGTGGATGTTACTGAAAAATGTTTTGTTTTAGATATATACCTCAAAATACTTTCATTAAACAGGGAAGAAAAGAGGCAACAGCATTTTTTACATGTTAATCAAAATATTAAACAGTGTCTTTGTAGCAATGATTAGATTTGAGAAAATTATACCATTAGAGTCCAGAGCTTAAGTCCCATTTCATTTGTTCTGTTTATAGTTTTTGTATGCATCTGTTACTTGATATTGCTACTATAGATGAAACTTTTGTTGTTGGTTTTGTTTATGTTATTGGTATTATTTCTGTATCCATTATAAACTCCTGGATGAAAATATTACTTTATAATATTTTAAATTAAAACTTCCTGTGATTATACACTGTGTTTATTCCAGTGTGATTGTTTCCTGCTACTGTAACTTAATTTTCTTTCACCCTAATTTATTTTTGCAACAACAATGTCAAAATCACAAACAAGATTTAAAAACCATAAGAAATGAAGTATGTAATTTATAGAATAAAAAACATATGATAATGATAGAAAATAAACTGGAATAGGTTTCATTTCATAAGAGAAATCTTAAGTGAATGAGTAAGTCTTAGCATGTAGGTGTATTTTGTGAATGTGTTACTTTAATATGTGTTTCATACCACATCAGTTTATGGATCATCACATATTTTAAATTTATTTTTTGATGTCGCACATCTATGATTTCATTGCAAAAACTTGTTTACTTTTTAATTAGTGATGTTAGTAATTTTACAGTTTTAGAATGAAAATTATGATTTATATTATGAATATACACACCATAGTAAGCGTTGAATGACTTCTCACATAGAAATATTACTTTTCTTATTGAAAACACCACCACTTACAGTTTCTGTGTTTTATGTTCTGGTTGGAAATAATTAGCAACACATTTTTTTATGTTTCTAGGACACACGCTACCAACTTTTCATGCTACGTCCAACTCAAAGAGCCTCGTGGATTGGATTTGCTATGGCTTATCATTTATTAAAAGACTATGAAATGGCCCTAAAGATACTGGAGGAATTCAGAAAAACACAAACGGTGAATTTATGCTAGATTTTAATAGTGATTTATTATGCATGAATCATGCTTTTATAGTTTAGTGGCTAAAATTATAGGGTTTCTTGCTTCTTCATCATAAAGCCTGATAATTGTAGTGCATTTTGGCTACTTTTATGCTCATGTGTTATTTGTATAGTTGTTATTCAAAAGTGAGAAAATGCTAAGCAAAAATTATCTACTATAACAGCAAAAAAAGATCTGTTTCATAGGAAAAGTAAAGCAACATTTAGTTTATTTGTATTTTTAAATTTGCAAAGTTTAGGCCTAATTTGGCAACTTCTATTTTCATAGTTGTTTTTATGTAACTTATAAGTCAATAAAACATTAGCAATTAATATGATTCAATTTTAATTTTATGCTATATCTAGCTGTTTAAGGTATAAAAATATGCATTTATAATTTCTTGGCTAATATTTGAAGCAGGTTAGTATTTCTATGACCTGAATTATGGTGAAATTAAATTTCTAATCTCCTCACTTTCAAGGAATGTTTTAGGTGACTTTTAAAGTGGTATACTGATCATTTAAATGTTATTGTTAAACAAAGCCTACTTTTCAGAATGATGTTTCTTAACTCCATATAAACATTAATTTTTGTGCAGATAAGAATTAATAGCCTGTGTTAAAAATTGTCATTTTTATGTTTAAATTGATCATCAAAGACTGTTAACCTGGAATATTTAATATTGAGATGTTAGAAATGTTTTTCTGTTTTGCCTATATATTAGTGATAGTGTAAAGCTATTACAATCATTTATGTACCATGTATGTTTCTTTGTTTTTAAAATCTATCCATAAGTAATAACAGATATCCTTGGAATTGGACAGAATGATACATTCACTCTTCATCATTCACAATTCTGTCTGTTCTAGGCATTACCTCAGTTCACTTATAACTTATTTAGTTCTAATAATTCTGTAACACACAAGAAGTTTTGTTCATTGAAATTCCCTCATTGGTGGCAGAAGTTGTTCCTGTCAAGTAGTTTTTTTTTCTGAAACTTTTGTTTTTCAAGTTTATCAATATTTCTCTTGAAAGCCATAGGATCTTGAAAACATCTCAAAACCAAGGTATACAAGCTGCATTTGTAACAATATAATCATTGATGCAAAATTTTATTATTTTCAAGCAAGAAATGGCAACTACATGAATATTGCTTTTTTGTTATATGTTCTGTTAACTAATGTAATTTTAAAATAAGCATTTGTTTACAATCTAAAAATAACTTACAGAAACCTGGCTATGATTATGAGCATAGTGAGCTACTGCTATATCAGAATATGGTGATCAGAGAGAGTGGTACATTAGAAGAAGCTCTTCAGCACTTAGAAAAATATGAAGAACAAATATCTGATAAGCTATCTGTTTTAGAAACTAGAGGTAAGAAAGTTTTAGTGGTTTATAAATATTAAAGACTATTCTCATAATTTTGGCTGGAAAATATAATTTACAGGTTAAAAAGTATACATCCTTATGCATAATTTTGATATTTAAGCCTTCCATTTAATATTTTTTATTTCAAAGTAATTAATTTTTTAATGTTACGTACTTTGTATGCTGGTCAGTTTTCATTCAAATAAAAATATGGACTGAATTTGTTGAAAATACAATGTATTTGTAGCAGCACTTATTAAAATCTTCATGACTTCGAAAATATTTTTCTAAATTTCTTAATAGAGGTCTTAGTGAGACTGTAAGTTTCTGGAATAGTGAACTCTTTTGTTTTCTGAGAGGTAAAATGAAATAAAGACTTGTTTATAATATATGTAGCATTGCACAGCAATATTGAAAGGTTAGATGAAGGATGAAGGGTTAGAAAATAAGTAGATGGTGTGATCTTTTTTAAATATGTAAACTTGTAGTCACATGACCATGGCTTTTTTTTAATGTCTTTTATGACCATTGACTGGTTTTTAAATAAAGATTTTAATTCTGTATTATACAGTGTTGATCGTTTTGGGATTTTAATATAATGCATAACAGTCTAAACTTGATTTAACAGGTTTTTTTTTGTCATTTTTCAAAATAAAAAAATTTTCATTGCCAAATAGTTTCTTTTATGTTATAATACATCGTAAATAATTATTATGAAGTATTCTTTGTATCATGTATTCAGAAACTAAAGTCTAATTTAAGTGCTTTCAGAAAGTATATCTCTTCTTTCTCAAGGGTGTGTGTGTAAACTAATATATATATTTAGTAAAAACACTTTATTAAGTGATTCTTTAGTATCACACCAGTAACATCTAAACTAATACCTTTATGTTTTTTGCAGCTGAGATCTTAGTTCAACTTGGTCGTTTGGATAAAGCTGAAGAAATCTACAGAGAATTGCTGAATAGGAATCCTGAAAACCTTGCATACTATCAAGGCCTAGAGTCAACACTGAAACCAGGTTCAACTTTGAGTCTTGATTCTTCTTGACTGTCCATGTGATTATAGGTTTATTGGGTACTCTATTTTGGTTACTGAAACTTTCATAAGACTCAGATCCAACTGCTGTGCTCTTACAAAACTTACTCTGAAATGATGAGTTAAAGTTGCTCTATTATTATGCTGTATATGCAGTCTGGATGATAATTTCTGACTCAAAATCAGTTAAGTGATCTTTTCAAAGTGAAAATCATTCTTGACTGTGCCAGAAGTTTCAAATTAGATGAGATTCTCTGTGGAAACGGATTTGACTAGTAAAAGCAAAAACAACATTGATATAGCTAGATAATCATTATTTTTCTCATTTTGTAATCTAGTTTTACCCACACCAAAAATAAAGGTTTCAAAATGCTAGCAACTTTCTAGCTTTACATATATATGACATCCACACCTCCTCCCAGCCCATCTCATGAAGATGTGAAGTATTTGGAAATGTTTGATATTTAAATGAGTAGAAATTAATAATACATTAATTTTAATAAGTTTGTGGATGTGAAGACTTGTTTTTAGCTTCTTGTAATGTCTGAAGATGCATTTTTTAGATATATTTTAGATATACTTAGATATTTTGTCTGATGTAAGATTGTAAAAGAACACTATCAAGTATAGCAGTTAGTGAAACAAATACAGTATGTGGAACAAACTATTAGAAGTCTTGAAATTAGAGAAACTAGTTTTGGCACATTCAGTAAGGTGAAATCTTTGTATTGCTGCTACACAAAAATTCAGCCCATAGAGAAAATATTAAGGAGGAAAACTTTAGAATCGCACAGCAAATACCTGAACGCTGTTATAAATAACCTAACTTCAAATAGAACCATATCTGAAGATAAACAGGGATTTATACCATATCAATGCTATGGCAATGGTTATTTAAATGAAACTGGAAGAAGTGACACAAAAGTTTCTGAACATAAAAAAAAAAGACATTAAATATTGGGACGCAAACAATGCCATTTGTTTTTTATATGAGGTATTCTATTCTGGTCATCAAATTGATTTGAAAATCAACAAGAATTTTATACAAAATGGATAACTGTATAAAAAGAAGAATTATATGAAGCTGCTTAATTAAAAGCCTGCTTATTTATGACCCCTCCCAAGGTCACTTCAAGCTAGAGGGCTTTCTGATCACTTCTGTCCTTAAGGGAATTCAAAGTTCAGGAATCACAAAGGCAATGTTTGACTGAAGGGGATGTACAAATGTATCAAAACTAGTTCATCTAATTTCAAGTCTTCTGATAATTTGTTCCATTTACTCTGATGTTTTCACAAAAAGATTTTTAAAAATCTAATTTTTTCAAGGTCAATTTAATGGTGTATATGGGTCAACATATTTCAAAATATAGTGTTCCAAAGTGGTTCTGTTGTCCTGCAACTTCAAATTGTTACATTTGCAATTTTAATAGAAAATCATAGGAGAGTTAAAACTTCAAATACAGTTATGAGTTTAGTAAATAAGATTTCATTTGTTGTTAGTCCATAATTTAACACCATAAAATATATACATTTAAATAAAATTTTAAATGTCTTACTGTATTTTTATGTATATGAAAAATATTTGTAAAATGTAGCTCATTTTTTAAGAAACATTTCTTCAAAAAGTTATTGTAGTTTGTGGTATTTATTTTTTAATGAAACTAAAAATATTCCATCAGGTTCGTAGTGGAAGGAAAAGAAGTTAGTAAAATAAATTACAAAGAAATTACCTAACGAAAAGTTTAACTTACGGAGTCTAAATAGCCAGTCGTTGGAGGCAGAC